GAAGACTTTCTTGTTCCAGCATGATCGTGCCCCTGTGCACAAAGTGAGGTCCATAAAGGACACGGTTTGAAGAGGTTGGTGTGAAGGAACTCCAGTGGCCTACACAGAACCCTGACCTCAACTCTCAGCTTCATACTAATGCCCATGGTTTTAAAACAGGATGTTCAAAAAGCTCTAATAAGTGTGATGGTGAGGTGTCCACATGCTTTTGGAGATACAGTGCAGTGTTCTCCACCCTGGTAGTTAGTTGTCACATTAAGGACTTGCTTCCAGATCCTTTGTGATCATGATTATTCATTTTCACTGTTAATATCTTAGCAACTACCTGAGCATCGAATTTCAATACACAAATGTCCCTAACATACTATGCATATCAGAAACAAAAGACTTTGACATGTGACTTTGACATTGCTTATGAATATCGGCAATGATGCATATTTACAACCCCATTAAGCATTAATAAACACACTGAACGCAAGAATGAGGGCAAAAAGCATGAACTGAAACAGCTAGTTAGACCAATGATAACCAGAATCAAGCAGTCCTTAAAAACAAAAAGATCCCAGTACTAAAGAGAAAAGCTTTACTCAAGATGGTGTTCAATATGTTAAACTGTCCAGTTAGTTATGGACCCTTTGTCAGTAAACATTTAAATATATATATATATATAATATATATATATATATAAATATATATATATATATATATATAGTACTGTGCAAAAGTCAGAGACCAGACTTTATCCATTTAATTTCCAGTCAAAACAGCTACTGAGTACAAATGATCTATTTTTAGCATGAGAAAATTGCAGAAAATATATACTTACTGGAAAATTACACAGAAGCCTCAAGAACTATATAACAGCTAAACGTTTTCAGTGTTTAGTGTGTGAACGCTTTTCTTCCATTTGTCTATTTCTGTCTGTCAGTAACAGCTTCTTGACAGCTACACTTTCTTTTAGACCCTTAGTATTTCTCTTCTCACAGTGGAAGGATGGACAGAAACACCTGTGGATTTTCTCAGAACTGAAGCAGGAGTGGAGCTTAAAGAGAAGCTTTAGGTTCTGTTTATCTGATGGTCTACCAGCTCAAGGTTGTTAGGAGTCCCATTATCTCTGTATCTTTTAAGATTTTTTTTAAACTCCTGTTTTCGAAACTGCTGTGTTTTCACTTACTTTCCTTTAACTTTCTCCTACTTATGCAAATGGACTATCTTACATCAACACTAAAATAAATGAATGAATGATCCCTGACTTTCACACAGTGCTGTATTAAGGAACTTTACCCATTGTGGGTGGAAAAACTCTTCAATCAATGAAACTATTTCACAGTCGTAATCACTCTTTCGTTCCAAATTCAGTGTGCTGGAGTAGAGATTCCAAACAATAAAACTGTTGTCTAACTACTTATGAACTGAACTGTACATTAGCTTGGAGTTTGGCTTCTATTTTTCTCAAAGACTTTAAGCTCTCGTCTTGGTGGAGCCCCAGAGGTCTTCTTCACAGTCTGCTTTGTTCACTATAAAGTTTTAGAAGTTTAATAGCATGAAAATAACCCAGTTCATAAATAATGCAGGTTTGCAAGATGCCTGAGAGTAGCTCAAATATCAACTGTTACTACTACACAAATATCTGATAACAAACAATAAGAGTTCTGTTTTAGACATTTGAGCCTTGGACGTTCTGTTCATTGACTTACTGAATGTATAACCTACGTGGCGCCCAGGGCTTTTGTTTTTTGTTCCATGCTTTTAACCCTATTTATTGTCATATGCTCCGTTTTGAAAGTTGCTTGTTAAGAAAGATACACTCGATGAGACATCTCAAAATAATATCAAAAGTAAACTGTACATCGCCTTGGGATACTTCACACTGCAAGGCGACGGCAAAGACACACCAAAAGAAGTAAACTATGTTGATATCCTGTCAATCACAGCATCTGCACAACTAATGTTTCTCATTCAATATGTCAGCTCCCAGCATGCACCAGGAATTCCTCTGGCTAGCACATAACTAAATTCTAACAAACAAGCAAACGTCAATTATGCTTCTCTTCTCTCCTGCACAGCCACTTACTTGAGCCAGGCTCTCTAATGCTTACGCACAGAAAAAACACCATAAACGGCTTGGCCCTCTTAAAAGTCAGCAAAGTGGAATAGTTTGCACTTTTTTATAGCTCCATCTAAAGCTTTTGCAGGCCCCAAGGTTAAAAGAGGAGAAGAGAAGAGACGAGGAGAAAAAAAGGAAGAGGCCTTGCGAATGGGGAGAGACAGAGGGGCCGTGCGTCAAAAGCCACAGACTGGAAATGAGGGGTTTAAATTTCACGCTATGCACTTAATTTCAATCAGGCCCCTGGAAATAAAATACACAATGTAAAAAAGCTCCCAACCTAGGGATATATAGAGAGAGAGAATGAGAGAGTGAGATAGAGAGAGAGAGAGAGAGAGTGTGAGAGAGTGTGAGAGAGTGTGAGAGTGAGAGAGAGTGAGAGAGAGTGAGAGAGAGTGTGTCTCCTTTATGTGATAGAGGAATATGAATCAGATTAGCTGAGCTATGACTTTCTTCAGACAGTGTTAGACTTGATTCCCATATATTACTGTTGTGATAAGGGCTTTATTACAGACAAGGCCTTAAAATAAGATTCTTAAAAGGCTCGCTTTCGCATAAAATTTTATTTCCTGCCTTTATCACTGCCTTTTCAGTTGATGGTGGTGACTTGTGTGGATTTAGTGCATAATGTTGAGCCAATTTGCATATACAACAAGTTGGCAAACTGGATCAATGTCATGCACTAAAGCACACAACTCCATATTCATGTCACCTCAGAAGTCTATGTGTCCTCAAATAGGCATACAATTAATATAATTGCCTGGGTATGCCTGCTAAAAGAAAGAATGAATAATCTTAGGTTCATAACTCAGAAGACAAAGCTAGCATGCTAAACAGGTAGAGAGAAATTGGACAAAAAAATGCATTACAGTTCAATATTCTGAAGAAGCCATTGGAATACTCATTTGTAATCTGCACAGCCATGTGAGGGCAGCTGATGAAATGACATTAAGCACTTCCAACTATCTCAGTCCCCAAAGGCAAGCCAGTGTCTGATGTCCAGTGAGTTTTTCCAGTTTAGTCCCATATCCAGCGATTAGCTTCTTTTAAAGCATTAATCAACGAGTGGCATGGGCAGGTATTTGAGTCAGGGGCATAGGACCATGGGTAATGATGGATCTGACATGCCATGGCCCTTTCCGGACAGGGGGCCCTCCAAAAGTCTTGGAAATAAATTGATTTTGGTTTCTAATTTTGATACTATGTTGTTACAGAAATACACAACACACAAGTGCATCTTCCATGATAAGTTCTGCTTATCTACTGTTGTTTCCTTGACAAAGCAAAAATGGCTGATAAAGAGGCACAGGACTTGACTCAATGCAGCAAGTAAGCTTTTTTTAAACAGTCTTTCTGTGATCATATTCAAGCGAGGTTAGCCTCAGCCCAGCAGCACGGTGTTTGTTCCAGAGACAGTCACTGAGAGAGAGAAAGCAGCACCTCTTCCTTTTCTGATGCAGCTGAAGACATGAGACAAGGTGAGCTCACCAAAGTAGGTAGCTAATATGTGCCAACCAATAAACCATTTGTTAAGCAGTTTCAGTGACAATGACAGTAATTATATTTACATTTTTTCCTTTTGAATTTCCCTCTTATTACACTGATTGCCTTGAACAACCCTAACCCAAGTTTAAGTCTAATCCTTATTAAAGTACAGCAAGATTGATGATTCAAAGCATATTTTCCTTACTGTCAGCTGTTTAACTCTTAAATGCACAACAAACCAACCTCACAAAGAAATGCAACATAATAGATATATCACATTTTTTTCCTTTCCTTTATTTTCTTTGGAGAAGGGATGTGGGGGGCCTGAGCACATTACTATAACTGGAGCCCAAAGTTTGGTGCTACACCCCTGATTTGCGTATTTAGTTAACCATTTGAGGTGCCAGTATTTGAATACTCAAGTGTTCGTTACATTCCATCACAAGAAGACAGAGAAAATGTACAGGCTAATAATTCAGTGAAATGGCAATTTTACACTGTTTTGTTTAAACAAGGCAGTGAAAAGTGTTGATTTTTCCTTGTATTTGTGACTAAATTGTATATAACACTACACTTTGATACTCTGGAACACAAGTCTAAGAGACTGTGCTGCTAAGGGTGCATTGTTAAAGATTTGACAGTGAAGGCAGATGCTACGTTCACGAAAACTGGGAACTCTGAATTTTTGAAGTTCTTTAGAAGCTTTTACACTGGATAAGAAAGTGGTTTGGTTAGTTCTTCATTTATTTTTAACATGGACACAGGCTGCAGCAATTTGCCATTAATATGGGGCCAAAAATTAGATACATGCACTTTGGTCAAAAATCCTGCACAGTCTGACTTCAACTTCAGATTATTCAACTATTCCCACATAGTCAGAAATATAATGCACAAGTAGTTATTATTACTTCTTATTCTAAGGCTGCTGCCACATCATAGTGAAGTAAGAGAATTGCATCTCAGAGAAGTTGGAGCTCTTGAGAAACTGACTTTCTGAGTGGGAAGCACAAGTTGGAGAGGCAATTTTAAATGAATTTTTCCCACTTGGACGTCAGAAACTTTGCAGTTCATGAACATAGCAAGAGATAGCTTGACTGGTTCTGGCACAGCTTTTTGGCTAACAAGGCTAACTACTCTAGATGATGTTACTTAGGTAGCCTTCATTAACCTTCACAGTTAACCAACATTATCTCTTACCAATACTCGAATATCACAAATTGCAGGAATGCACATTCCTATAATGAACTATAAACACTGGGAAAGTCTAGAGACAAGAGTTTACCCATGTTAAACATTTAACCTGTCATGTTGTTCTGGCATTTTAGTAAGGTACATATAATTCATATAATCTGACGTGATTTGAGATGAAAAGATTTTATTAGAGATGCAATTGTGGGATGTTTTGTACCTGCATCGAGTTGGGCCGGTCATTGAAAGGCACAGGCTCAGTGAAGAATTCTGCGTTGTGGTCCAGTCTGCCATGGCCTCCATACTGAACCTCATCAGAGTCCAGCTTGATTTTGTATCTGCAGCAGAGCTGGGTTAAGGAACTCAAGTGTAAAAGCTTAGAGAGAGAACGCAAAAAGTGAGGCATTACATTACAATGAGCTGCTACATTACTCAGTAGCAAACTGTCGCTGTAAGAACTAGGCCTTCAGTTTGGAACATCAATGTCAAAAACAAACAAACAAACACCTCATGATGCTCATGGAATTTATTATCACCAAGTTAATGGTGATTCAACATATTTTGGCCTTCTAGACTAATCATGGACATCTAAAGTGTGTCAAAGACATTTATGTTTTATTCAGAGCATGTAACAGTTTTAATTTATCTTGCAGCAGAGTTACAGTGACTCAGTAAAGAGCCCTGGAACTCACTGGTCAGGTTACCTCTCATACTTGCAGTCAGTGAAATATCTAGGAAGGCCCTGAGTGACATTTTCCCTCATGAAATTAATCCCACCCTTTGGAAATCAAAACATGAACCCACAGTTCCTCAGGCCTTCAGTTCAGCTCCTGAAATGCTAAGCAATTAAAGAGCCTGCATTTCTGTGTCTACGTAGATACAGCAAAGAAAAAAATCCTGATTCGAAAATTTTCCATTGGATGTTCCAAGAATTTAACCCTTTTATTTCTAGCCAAACCTTAACAATGAAATAGGAGTATTACTACAGCACTTGTAGAGTTTAAATGCAACAAGCATGATGCATATATTAAGAAAACAGACTAAAAGTTACAGACATGTATTTTGTTTTCATTCACAGAAATCATTAGGCCTTCTCTGAAGGACTAGAAGGCCCTGAAGGTTCCCCTCTGGTACTTTACAGGATGCTACATTATTAAAGTCCAAGTAAGTACTCACTGTGCCTGCATGTGCACTGAAAATCCATAGGATTTTCCTTTTCTAAAGCAGTTCTCTCCATCATTTCCCAAAACACTGCTGCGAGATCAAGTTCAAGGTTACACATTAAGGGTGAATGAATGACACATGAAAAAAGACATTTAGAGCTTAAAAATAAACTAAAAACGAAGAGCCTTTGTTTTGGAACTCTCTAGAAGTGCATTAATTGTCCACTCTCAGGAGAAGTCATCATTCTCTTCAGAATGCAGTAGTGCTGTACAGCATATCAGCAGCTGTGATTGTGCAGAACTCCTGGGAGGCAACCACACACACACGCACACACACACACACACGACACATAAACATGCACACCAAAACCGATGAGACACCACACAGCCAATTCCAGGCAGAATTATTTATCCATTTCAATATATTAATAATGTATTCCATCAAAAACTGTTTCAAACAACACCAAACACACATACACAATCTGTCTGTGCTACACTGACTAAATTAAATATTAAAAAAAGTAATTGCCCAGACTCATGACCGGAATAAAAAAAAAAAATCTTAGACACAGAAAAATAAGACTATGAAAGAATAAAGCCGTGATGCCGTGGAGAAAACTGGAAATCAGTTTCATTGGGAAATCACTTGATGTTCTGGAGAACTTTCTCCAGCATTGAAGTCGGAACTGAAAGAACTGAGTTTTTCCACGTCAAAGCTGGCAACACTAGACAAGCCGTCTAAGTTTCAAAGCTATGCAGAGATAATGCTGAATAAAGCTGACGTGTTAGATATTAAATTATAAATCATAGGCCTAATTATTTGGAAAAACAGTTGATGTGCTTGAGAACACGATGCAGCAGTTCTGGTCTAATCTGTTCTTTTGCTCCATTTTTAACACCACAAGCTGCCTACTCATAATTTAATATGATCTAGTGCTGTCAATGTTGGCAATCATGTCTAAATTAAAGAGCCTGTATCCTACTTTTGATTTATTTATTTTCCCGGAGGCCCATTTGTGACGTTTGTGTTTTGTGGTTTTATATATCAGACGCTGTCCAACTTTACATAATCATTTTCCAACCTCATTATCTTTTAGGCTGGGGGTCGGCAACATGTGGCTCCAGAGCCACGTTCGGCTTTTTCACTGTCCTGTTGTGGCTCCACAGCAGAATTAGATTTTTAGGTAAAAATAACATTGTTTTCCTGTGCAGTACAATAAAGCTCTGCAAATCGTTCTAACACAATCTCAACAATAAATGGTCTTAAACGGAGTTAATGTAGCCTATTACTGCTTATTCACCCTTTAGCCCTGAAGGTTGGCACACACACAGCACACAGCAACATGGATAACAGTCTCGCCTAACTAGTAGCTAACGAAAAGGTAAAGAGAAAGATTTAAGATGAACATTGGTAATTTGGAGACGAATGGACTTATTTGCATTTACAAGTACTCCAGCTGGTTTCCTGATGCGTATCTGAATTAAGAAACTGTCAAACACTAAAAAAGTCGCAAAGCTTAAGTCAGCCTTTCGTTCGCCAGCTTCTTGTTCGAATTGTCCCGTTCCAGCTTAAATTGTGCAGCAGTTACATTCTGGCGTCTCAGACACCATTTAAGGTGGAATGGGAAAATTCAAACAAGAAGCTGGTGAATAAGAAGATGACTACAGCCATGTACAAAAATCGAATGTTGAGAGACATTTTACAAGAAACTATTCTATTTTTGAGGAAAAGTTACCTGCCAGAGATGCAAGAAATGTGGCTATATTTGAGCTAAAGCTTCAAAGTACAAAGTAAGTCTAATACTAGTACATTAGCACATACTGAGACATATTTACATATTACATTTAAAATTTTACTTCAATAAAATGAGTATAAAATGTTGTAGCTCTCAGGGTGGTTTGACTTTTGTTGAAAGGACAAAATGGCTTATCTCAACATTTGGGTTGCTGACCCCTGCTTTTAGCTGTTTTTGTTACTGTGCCTGACCTACGCAAATGTGCTCTATTCTTATTGGCCACCCTGGAAAGTGCCTTGTTCAAAAAGCAGTTCTGGCTGAAACACTACTTATAACTTCCAACATGAATGGGTGAGGCTAAACTGCTGTAGGCTGAACAGGCAAATATATGAGGATGCACCTTTTTTAATGACATCACAAAAACAAACATTTAAAATGTACTATATTTGCTTAGTTTTCACACATGGAATGTAAGGACTTGGCGGTGAATAGTGTGTTTACATACACACATTAAACTCCTACTTGTTACATGTGTTTTCATTATATGGGCCCTTTAAGTAACAGGGCCAATATGTGCTTTCATATGACTAGATCAGGTACATTTGTGCGTCATGAGAAAAGAACTCTATTCCTGTGACTCGCAGAGGGAAAAAGGGCATCTGCTGCGCTCTGATGAGTCTCTGTTTCTCGCCTTATTTCTCCCCCCTGTTTACCTCTGTCTCTCAGAGGTTTAAACAGTTGTGCATTGTAACAAACACGCAGACAGGCGTCTAATTGGCTGCTTGAATAATCACCTCCTTTCCCCATGGGCGAGCGCAGGGGTCTTGGTGTGATCCTCAAAAAGCCTCTCTCCCACTCTGCCCCGGAGCTGGAGAGCGCTCGCCTTTTACTGCCTGCTTGTCGGCTTTGATAGCAATGATTAAAAGCGAAGTGTTGCTCTGTGCATTGTTTCAGCGAAGGACAAGAGACAGAGAGAGAGAGAGAGAGAGAGAGAGAGAGAGAAAGAGAAAAAACACCCTTCCATTCCCATCAAGCTCCTGTTTGCACTGAATTCTCTTACTGACAGAGCAAACATCCTTTGTTTGGATATTTTGGGCTTATTGTCAGAGAGAGAGCGAGAGAGAGAGACAGAGAGAGAGAGAGAGAGAGAGAGAGAGAGAGAGAGAGAGAGAGAGAGAGAGAGAGGGAGGAACAATCCAATATGCTAGACTGCTCTTTTTCTGGAATAAATAATTTGGTACTTCATTTGATTTGTTCACTCAAATATCACCATGAATAACAATATGGCACAGGGCATGCTCCAGTACTTCTGCAAGCTGTTACATCTCATACAGTGTAGTCTGCTGCCAGAGCGGAGTTTAAGCTTCCCAAATCACCAGAACATTTTACAGTTAATTCACTGTTAACCCCTTAAATCCTAGACTTTGTTTTCAGTTGTTGAGTTACTGAGTTATTGAGATGCATTATCATTACAGTAACCATAACTTATGAAAATATTGTTGCTATTATTATAGGATCGACTATGAACTATTATTATTATCAACATAGAAACTACTATGCATGTGCCCTGTATATATATATATATATATATATATATATATATATATATATATATATATATATATATATATATATATACACACACACACACACACACACACACACACACACACCCCTCATGATAACTAACCTTTTATCCTTTTATCAAGGTTCATATTATAATTTTGTCATCATGAAGTACATTCTGAATATAATTTTTTAAAACAGCTGTACACATTTGCAATATTTAAAATAATCATTAAAAAAGGACCAATCCAATTCCTTAGATTTTATGATCTGTTTCTCTTTGCTGTTACTGTAGCTAGTGCACTCTTAAAAAAGAAGGTTCTTCAAGGGTTCTTTAGTAGAAAAAATGGTTCTATATAGAACCATGAACACTCAAAAAATCCTTTGCATGATCAAAGGGTTCTTTGCATTGTGAAAGGTTTCTTTAGACTGATGGAAAATTTGCTGTAGATGGTGCTGTATAGAACCTTTTTGAAAACAGTTCTATATAGCACCAAAAAGGGTTCCACTATTGTTACAAACCGAAGAACCTTTTTTTGGTACTATATAGAACACTTTTTGCTAAGAGTGTAGGCTATCCATCTATGTAACTGAACGGCAGTACCATTTCAAATGCGAGGCACACCATATCTCATTCTCAAAAAGAAACAGGATGCACTTCTTAGGGGGCAGATGAACAAATCTGATTGACACGTATGTAAAAGCAAGACAGCAATTAGAGAGAATACGAAAGACAGACGACCCATAAACATGCAAACGCTGACAAGTAATAATCAAAAGAAAACTGCTCTCAGACTCCCAGCACTGATCAGGTTCTCAGAGTGCCACAGCACTCCATTCTTTCTGATGTTACTAACGACATTAAACCAGGAA